TACTACTCGTGACACGTCTAAGACGTGATACGCCTAAGTGTGAAAGTAATGTCAAATTAAATTAGTATTTTTTTTGTGAATTTTTTATAGGCCATACGACGGCAAACCACTCGAAATTTGGCGGACTACTTACATTTCCCTAGGGCCACCCACCGGAACCCTTAGAATTTGACGGACCAGTAATAATTTTCGGTAGACCACCACGTGGTACATTGACCACTGGTTGCGTAACACTGATCTAGGTAGGGGTCCGACATTAGGCTAGGGTGGTGACGTATAGCCCCAGAGATTATGTATTCATTTTGTTTAGTCACATTTTCGTATTTTTGTTTATTTATATTTATTTTTACTTTTTCATGATGTAAAACGCTTTTTCGTGCATTACATATTTTGGACAAAATGTTGCATTAGAACAACTATAAACATGCATGTTCCGAACAACTTGAGACCAATAGTAAATCTCTACGACTTTCCATTGCAAAGATAAATGAATTTATTCTAAAAAATTTGGCCATTGTAGGCGTCAGAAACTTGCCACAAAATTTGTTTTTTTTGATCTACACATATCAAAGATATTTTGTGCCTAGTTTCATGCTTTGGTAATAAGGATGATACAGCTGGGTCCCTTAAGGCCAACTCAGACAGCATCGGCCGACACAGCCCGACCCGATTTATCGTCGGGGACAGTCTTAAGCCGTCGTGAGAAATATTAAACACGTTTAATATTCTACTACGCGACTGCCCCTGACGCACACCATCGCGTCTGCGTTCAACTCACACAGACCCGACGCGACAACAAATCGCGTCGGGCTGCGTCGTACGACGCTGTCTGAGTTGGCCTTTAGCTGCTCTACTGAAAGCAGTTAATTAGGGTATTTTAATATAAGATTTTAATGATGAGGAAAACTTCACCCACACATACACATTACATACCCATACATCTGAAAATAACTTATGTTAGAATGAATGTTTACATTTGCGGTTGACATGTTCTGACATTTGAGGTAAAAATGGAAATTTTTACACTTGTGGGCTCTACACACCTATATCGTAAAACATTTGACATATGTCCAAATATGGTCATGATAACATGACATCATGATCATAATATAGGCACATCTTCACCATATATAGGCACATCATGACTATATATATACATACAAGACTGTTTTCAAATATGATAATTGGTTTTATTATAGGCCTATTGCTAATAAAATAATAATATTTATTTATATAGCGTATTTTCTGATTTCTGTTCAATGCGCTTTACATAAAATGATGATAAAATACAATATAAAATAGGCAACATTATACAATGATATTACAAAAGTATTATATAGAAAGACTATAAAAATATACTTTTATTAACTACATAATCAAAATAATAAAAAAATACAAATTCAGTCAAAAATAATATTAATTATCTAACTATAATATACAATGATTCCAAATTATTACAATACAATACAGATCAATTAAAAATTTTAATTCAATATCTACAATATGGAAAAGACAATAAATTAAATGGCAAGATATAAAAATATAATTAATACAATTAACATCATTGAAATTAATTAGAAATTGTGTATTCACTATTAAAGATACAATTACTATTTACAATTACTTAAAATTTAGATATTTAAATTCAATAATACTGTACAATGATTAACCAATACCAATCTCAAAATGTACATATATTCAATTTTGAAATATAAAATTAAAATTATTTACAAGATTAACAGGTCAAATTACTTAATTTTTAAAATCACAGTTGATCCTCCTTCTCCTCCTAATAATAATAATAATAATAATATTAATAATAATAATAATAATAATAATAATATTAATATTAATAATAATAATAATAATAATAATATTAATATTAATATTAATAATAATAATAATAATAATATTAATATTAATATTAATATTAATATTAATAATAATAATAATAATAATAATAATAATAATAATAATAATAATAATAATAATAATAATAATTATTATTATTATAATAATAATTGACCACCTCTCTTAAGCATGGGGTCCTTAAAATTATTGCAATCGTTGTACTGAGTAGCAGTCTTCGACGCAGTCGGAAAGGCCTCTTGATTCGACCGACCAATCACTATTACCGAAAGCTGTCGGCGATGGCGTGTAGCGATTGTATGGAAACCAGGCTTTAACCGACCACTTGTCAAAAGTGTCTTGTTTCCCATTCAATGTCAAATCGAATGTTACTGAAACTTTTTTTTAATATGAAAATAGTACAATGGTTGTGAACGGGTGGTCGCTCCGTACCCCACCTTTTTTCCGTCTTTATTTATATTTCAAGAGGATGTCCCACTCATCGAAGCTGATTTTCAGCGGAGTCCTCATCACAACAAGCAGATTAATAGTTTGCAGTGGTGTAGTGTATCTAGGAGTCTTGAAGTGAGGGTGCTCATTGGTGGAGGGGGTGGGCAGTTAAAATGTGTGAAGGGGCTACATGATCAGTTGAGGGGCGCGAACTTGCAAGATAAGGTGATTTTTAACTACTTTTTTTAGAAAGCGACTGGGGGAAGGGGCGCGAGTAATTTTTGGAGAGGCATACACCCCGGCCTCGCGTTCGCACACCCCATGTACCCCTAGATACGTCACTGCAAGTTTGAAACAAAGCATGAACAAACAGCAAGTAGAGGATGTTCATAGAAATAGTTTAAAATTAAGGTCATACGCGCGACCCCAGTGTAAAACTCGGACACATTAGTAACGCAACTGCTTTAAGCTTTGTCTACACTGTCAAATTTCATCCAAAAAGCGTCACATAAAATGTGACGGAACATAAGAGTTGAACACGATACAATTTGATAGTATGTTATATGACCAAAGCTATGTTTTACAACTATGGATTATGGTGATAACGATTGTAAAAGGTTAAAAATAAATTATATTTTCCAAAGTTTCATTTATAGCCATTTTATACTTTTTAACTCTATAGAAAAAATAGGTCATTAAAAGACACAAAAAGGTTTACTGTATTTACAACATAATAAAAAATTTCGAATTAGCGACGAAAAAATGTACATTACGTTGGTAGTGCTTACGCCGTAAAAACGACTGAGTAGAGAGGGCGGTAGATGAGGACTCGAATAACAACCGCCTGTCATGACTGTTGGAAATATAGGTACTGAAAAAGACTTAAAATAACAATACCATCTTCAATCGCCTGTCTTGTAGGGTTTATTGGTGAAGGAGAGAAAGTTCGTCTTTCACCTGTCTCATAGTTCTTATGCAGAGGAAAGCTGTAATCACGTCTTGTAAGAATTTATTGGTAGATCATTCAGGAAGCCGAGAGATGTTTTGTATTTAAATCATATCATATGTAGTCATTATTATGTCTTGTTTTTATTGGTAAACAGAGAGAAGGGATTTCATAATTAACCACAGGGGCAGATCCAGAATTTTGTAACACGGGTTGGGGGTGGGGCTCGTATCACGTCTTGCAATTCTTGTAGCGTTTATTAGTATCTATACGGGGTGGGGGAGGACTTTGTGTTTAAATCATCTGCACGTGCTCTGTGCATTTATTAGTACATCACACAGGGGAGGTATTTTTTTATTCAAATTCCATGTATTGTAGTGTCTGTTAGGTCACACAGGGCAAGGGGCTTTATATTTAAATCATCATCGCACCTCCTTACTTAAGATAGCGCCGCCAACTTAGCAGTGCACGGTAGGGGAGCCATAGGCTTTTATCCTTGGTGGAAGCTACCGGAGCCTAGCAAACTGACGCCGAGGTACCTGCGTTTACACAGTAGTGACGGCGACGATATCTCAAAATCGGGGGTGGGCACTCCCCCGCCCCCTTCGTTTTTTTTTTTGTCTTTGTTTCTTGTGGCTTCAAAAGCGCCTTGATAATTTCTTGATATTCTTCATTTCCATTCAGATGAAATGATGAAAGAGGTACTTAGCAGTACTTTATGATGATTTTTAAATACCTTTAACAAGATAGGCCCTAATTGAGAAATAATTGTAGGTCTTCGTTTTGTAGACACCCATATAAGGTGTTTATAAAACGAAGGCCCTTCGCATTTTCACAGACGTCCAAATAATCCCGTAATTTTGATTTTGAGACAGCTGGTGTATTATCATGAACATAAAAGAGAAAATATAAGGGTCTTCGTTTTTGGGTCTTTGGTCTTCATTTCATGGACACCCGGAAAAAGAACTAGATTAACAAATTTGGTTAGGTCTGCGCAATTTGGTGACCACGCCAAATTAGGTGACCTCGCTAAATTTGGGGAAAAAAATCACAAAGGGTATACTAAACTCATGGTTTTTGTCGAAATTTAATGATTAAGTCGTATTAAGTGACCAAGTTTAAGCGACCAAGCTGTATTAATGACCAAGCCACATTAAATGACCCAAGCCATAATCAGTGACCAGGCCATATTAAGACCAAGCAATATTAAGTGACCAGGCCATATTAAATTACCAAGCCATATTAAGTGACCAAGTCGTATAAAATTACCAAGCCGTAATAAGTGACCAAAGCTGTATTAATGACCAAGCCGTATTAAATGATCAAGCCATATTAATTGACCAGTCCATATTAAATGATTAAGTGAACAGGATATTAAGTGATTAAGCCGTATTAAGTGACCAAGTGTATTAAGTTACCAAAGCCATATTAAGTGACTAAGCCGTATTAGTGACCAAGCCGTATTAAGTGAACAAGCAATATTAAGTGACCAAGCCATATTAAGTGACCAAGCCATATTATATGACCAATCGTATTAAATGACCAACGACGACCCCAACTCCGCTTATCTGTGAGCACTAAACTACGCCACGCCGCCTGCTGGCTGTCAGTGGCAGTATGAACGGATCGTCATTAAAAAGACCATCCATTGCGTGTCCGTCATCTCATGGCGTTGCGTTCTAAATAGAATTGCGCCGGCTGACGAATGTAGGGCGCAGTTAGTTCCTGTTAAATCATTGACAGAAGACATCATAAACATAGACTAGGTGAATTTATTAAAATATTCATATAGCTTAGGCCTAGGTGGGGAATTTCCTAAATAAAGCATCTACACGTGTATCGTATACATTTACAATGAATATACAGGTAATAAATATACTATAATAAAAATGAATACAATTTTCAGTCCATATTGCCCTTGTTTCTATGCCTCTATTTTTATGACCGTTCTTAAGTCCTTCCGCCGATTTTCTAGAATGCAATATTGTTAATGTATGCATTTTTTACAAAACTCTTCTCAGTACATAGCACACACAGCTTATAATTGACCTTTCCGCCAAGCCCAACCCTTGGATATTCGGTGGATTTCGCAATACGAAAACGATAACGTCATCTTCATTATCGTGATTCGTGTCTATAACATTCATTTTAAAAACCATGGATCGCCTACATTGTGACAGGTGCTCTGTATGGAATGGATTGACTAAAAGATGATTACGTAACCGTTATCGTTTTCACGTTTTTGAAATGTTGCGAAATCTACCTATTGTTTCTAAACAGCAGCGTGAACATACATAAACAACATGTTGTGATTTGTCCATTGCGTTAAAATATGCAAAATGTTAATTCAACTTTATTACCAAATGATTTGATCTTGTATTAGCACTTTTTCAAAAGACGTACACTACCTTAATTATCCTCTAAAATATTTCAACATTTGCAATTATGAAAGTATTGACACGAATAGCATTATAATTGTTTACTTCACCTTAAAGTCAGGCTCCGGAAGAAAAATGTTTTGGTAGAACTGCAGAACCGTTCCCCATTTTATCCTCAAACAACCTTTTTTCTGTCATATCATTTTTTCCTCTTTAAGTGTTGTTGAAAGAAAGTACAATTCTACCATAAATATTAATAAATCGTAGTGCATTATGAAAGATATTTATTTTACTTAAATCAAGGTATTGGATCTGTTTCCATTAGTTTAGTTTTAATCTGCCTTTGAACTAATAAAATACACTTTCCGCTAAACCGTTCTGCCAAACGATATGCCGCCTGATGTACGGTACACAATGGGTATCTTACTCTATAAAACGACTCAGTATTGGTAGAATTAAAAACAATACATTAATCTTTTATTGTATATTTTTGTCTATGGGGATAATGCCCTTTCGTCGATTTATACATATCTATCACATTCTCATATAACAATACTATTTTTTACATTAAATGTTTATATTGTGAATATACTCGATATTAATTGTTTTTATTGTTGAAACTTATCTATATAGGTGCTTTGTGAAATAGGTAACGCTATATTAACGTTGAATAAATTGAAGGAAACGTTATAACCAAACTAAGATTTTAAAAATATTTAATCCTGAATATATTAAATTTGAGTTTGGGCTAAAATTGTTTGAATAAGTGGCAGATTATTATCTAAGCTACAAAATTTATGATGTTTTGCTTCTTCTTTTAGTTTGGTTTATCATTTCCACCCATCTTCGTAATCATATCATCAGTTTTCTCGACGTCAAAGTAAACTTTAGCAATTGTGTCTAACAGATGATCACCTTTATTTAGAAAATCTGAAATCTTTTCGTCAATTTCACTTGTAGGCTGGTTGTCAACATCTTTGTTGTTTTCATAAAGAAAGTCATGGGCTTTGTTCATGCCAATCAAACATTTAAAATAACGCATGATAAAATCAACCATCTCGTAATCGTTGGCCGTTTGATCAATGTCATGATTTACTTCTGTAAATGCCTCGTTAAGAATAGTGATGAACATAATAATTAGGAGAAATGGCATAAATGCTATGTATAAGAAGAAGAAAATAGAACCAAGAAGACCGCTGGCTGAACTAATACTTTGAAAATCGAAGGTACCAAGCAGCGTACCAATAAGACTTTCCATTGTGTAAACTATACCAGAAAAGTCAAAAAGATCGGCCACAAACAGCTGATAGAAAATTAATACAAATGCAAAGAAGATAATAAAGAACATTATTCCAAAATAAAAAAGATCCTTTGCGCACGCCCCCAATGTGCTTGATAATAATGCCATTCTGCTGTTGAATCGAAGAAAGTACAATTCTACCATAAATATTAATAAATCGCAGTGCATTATAAAAGATATTTATTTTACTTAAATCAAGGTATTGGATCTGTTTCCATTAGTTTAGTTTTAATCTGCCTTTGAACTATTAAAATACACTTTCCGCTAAACCGTTCTGCCAAACGATATGCCGCCTGATGTACGGGTACAAATTGGGTTCATTATCTTACTCTATAAAACGACTCAGTATTGGTAGAATTAAAAACACTACATTAATCTTTTATTGTATATTTTTGTCTATGGGGATAATGCCCTTTCGTCGATTTATACATATCTATCACATTCTCATATAACAATACTATTTTTACATTAAATGTTTATATTGTGAATATACTCGATATTAATTGTTTTTAATGTTGAAACTTATCTATATAGGTGCTTTGTGAAATAGGTAACGCTATATTAACGTTGAATAAATTGAAGGAAACGTTATAACCAAACTAAGATTTTAAAAATATTTAATCCTGAATATATTAAATTTGAGTTTGGGCTAAAATTGTTTGAATAAGTGGCAGATTATTATCTAAGCTACAAAATTTATGATGTTTTGCTTCTTCTTTAAGTTTGGTTTATCATTTCCACCCATCTTCGTAATCATATCATCAGTTTTCTCGGCGTCAAAGTAAACTTTAGCAATTGTGTCTAACAGATGATCAACTTTATTTGGAAAATCTGAAATCTTTTCGTCAATTTCACTTGTAGGCTGGTTGTCAACATCTTTGTTGTTTTCATGAAGTAAGTCACGGGATTTGTTCATGCCAATCAAACATTTAAAATAACGCATGATAAAATCAACCATCTCGTAATCGTTGGCCGTTTGATCAATGTCATGCTTTACTTCTGTAAATGCCTCGTTAAGAATAGTGATGAACATATTAATTAGGAGAAATGGCATAAATGCTATGTATAAGAAGAAGAAAATAGAACCAAGGAGACCGCTGGCTGAACTAATACTTTGAAAATCGAAGGCACCAAGCAGCGTACCCATAAGACTTTCCATTGTGTAAACTATACCAGAAAAGTCAAAAAGATCGGCCACAAACAGCTGATAGAAAATTGATACAAATGCAAAGAAGATAATAAAGAACATTATTCCAAAATAAAAAAGATCCTTTGCGCACGCCCCCAACGTGCTTGATAATAATGCCATTCTGCGGTTGAATCGCAACAACTTCAGAAACTTTGTGGTTGCCAGAAAAACGACAGTTCCCAACATGTACATAAAGACCTCGTTCCAGTTGGCAACGTACTGCAATTTGATGTACTTCTTACTGCCCTGTATCTTGACCTTGTTAACAATTTCTTTAGTGACGTAATGACGATAGAAGTAGAGAACCACTGCAGCCACAGATATTGCGATGATCAAAAATTCAATCCAGTTCCAGAATTTGTAAAAGTACGCTTTTCCCTCTCTTCGAAAGTTGTTGACTTCCTTGAAGATGAAAAATACTAAAAAGCCGATGAAAACTCCTTCGCTGAGTATAACAAACATTGAGAAACCGGTAAACGTTCTTAAAAGATGTATAACGTCAATGCGTTCGTATGGTATAAGAGATCCAGTTGGAAGAAACTCCACGAACATGTTGACGACTCCGAACAGATTAACCTCTGGATTGTAGACTGAAAACTCAACAAAAACTGCACGGGTGTGTTTGTCTATCCAATGCTGACGATGTACTTGGTCTATTCGACTCTGAACTGTCTCAATATCTTCAGCAAGCCTGATAACGTATCCTCCTCCGCTGTAAAGCCCGTGACGTCCGAGGAACGGATAACTGTCTAGCTCTTCCCAGGTTGTGTACATGAATTCTGGAACTTCGCGTGTTACGTTGTAAGGTGTCCACTCCGCTCCATAATCAGAAGTATCTGAATCCCCGACTGAATATTTATCATTACAATGAAAGATTACGTCTTGGATTAACTCATGGGGCTTACACAAATCTGAGAAAAAAAAAATTACAATCGCTATATATATAT